GAACCAACTGCAGACAGAACAGATGCCTTGCTGTTTAACCTTGTAGAAATTAAATCATATTTAAAATATTTGCAGTAAATTCAAATGTAACCTTATGGACATTTAATTACTTTCATTATTATGCCAAAGCAGAAGAACAAACCTAATTTTACGAATGATTATACTTAGGTACCTAAACATTTATATTTTTTTAAAGAATACCTTGACTGACTATTTTTGTTAAGGGAAATTTCCAAATTGGCAGGTAACACCGCATACGAATTTATAATAAGCGAGTGACAAAAAAATTAATAACCGATAGGTTCGCCGGTGAAGAATTTAGTTTTGGGAAGGAAAAAAAAAAGAAAATTCATAGACTTGAAATTGGCATTGCTATTAAAAAGTAAGAGGAAAGGCGAAAGTGTGCATCTGAGGTTTTTGTTAGGTACTATTTTGCACCTGTACAAGTTAAGACGATAAGTCTTAAGTTTTAACCAAATGTTTTGAAATAATATTCTTAAACTGCATGAACTGCTACATACATGCATGCCCTTTGGTTGCATGTAGATAAGTAATTTTAGTAGGACGACGTAATTATGTTTTAAAACCATACTGGGGTAACCGTACGCGAAAATGCCCCCACCCCCCCCTACCCTTCAATGAAATGTGAAGCAATATTGTTATCATTTTTGGGTACAAGAAACTATCTTGCATTTTCAGATGTGGAGAACAGGGAAAAAACGAACTATGGTACCGGTGTGTTGCATGTGGCATATAGAACCACGCGGTATGTACCGGTAAAGATGCTCCCGAACCAAGATATATTAAAGATGGTAGGATGATTCGCCGCCATTATGCAAGACAGAATGCGGCGCCAGTTAAAATCGCTCCCTAGAAGTCGCCACCCATCCCAGTGTACTTCACAAAAGTGTTATTTTATTCAAACACGTCATTTAAATTTTAATTAAACCATCAAATATGAGGAAGTGTTTGATTTGTGACCACAATACGCCCTTAACTAGTGATGCATCTTTATTTCAAGCTCCTTCCGTATGTAATCAAAATAATTTACCTACTTAGAGTAAATGCAATAAGTAATTACAATTCTTGTTTTGTAGATTGTCACAACCCGCAGCTTAAAAAAAATATGCGAAATTAGCAAAATTGGTTTAATTAAATTGTTGACTTTGTTCCAAGTTGGTTTATAGAAAATTTATGTGTAAATATTTGTAAAAAATGTAACAGGCTTTTTTTTCACTTATTCATTTTCGAAGCAATTGTCGCATTATCCTTTCCCATACGACTAGTTTGACGTCTGTCAATAATTGATTAGTTTGGTGAATTTCTTGTTCATTAAATTGTCCTGCCGAATTACACTCGAGGTTTGTATTTAAACAGAGTAAATTTGGGTTGTTGCAATTCAAATCTGTTTCCTTTTAGCAATTGAACTCGAAAAACTGCCACAAGCCACATTTTCCTACTTCTGTTTTGTAGTTCAGCCTCCAGCACTGCCACACTCCTGGAACAGAAGTTGGTTAAAGTTATTGCACTTAGTCCCCTTCTAACCAGAATTTAGATCCTGGGAGCTTCCGAGATTAAGTTATAAAATAGCAAAGTAGGTTGAACAAGTCAGGTCCTCTACCTTCCATCTTAACAGTAATAATGTATGTAGACTTCCGCCAGTTCCTCCAATCTCCATCCCAGCAGCCGAGAATGTTAGTAATCAATCGGACAATAATGATTTTGTGTCAGAGGTTCTTACATCTCTCGGCATGATTGCTTAAACCGTACATTGTGTAGGTGAGGGTCATTTGATGTTTATCTTAATATAAGAAGGGTGGCTCCTGGTTTGTTCACATTGATCAATGGCCTATTAACTTCGCTTGATCCAGTACCAGCTCCGACAGCTAGGCGGGGTGAGAAGTCTGCAATGCAGGTATTGCGCTACTGGATAGAAGCCTCAACTATATAGCTCATGCCAAAAAATCCACCCGCACGGCAACACAAATAAGAAGGCTTTTTTGGAACTGTGGTGGCCCAAGAGAGGGCAGAAGAAGGGTATTCGCGGCGGCAGTGAACAATGTAGTGCTATACGGGAGTGAAGTGTGGGGGGCAAGTGCGATAACGACACGCAAAGTGAGCGAAGGCCTGGACAAGCTACAACGGAAAATGGCTTTAGGGATCGCGGCCGCTTACCGTACCGCGCCCACAAAAGACCTGTTTGTAGTAGCGAGTACCCCGCCGCTGAGACTGTTGGTAGAAGAAAGGGCCATGGGGAGAACCAGAGACGAAACTATTCATGTTTGGCAAGGCGAGTGGGAAACTCGAACCTCATGGACCCGTACCCTTATAAAAGATGTAAGACCATGGGTCAGAAGAAACCACGGAGAAATAAACTATTGGGTGACCCAGCTCCTAATTGGGCACGGAGAAGTCGGAGTATACTTATTCAAAATCAAGAAAAGGGAAACAGAGGACTGTAGAGACTGCGGGCAGAGAGATACAGAAGGCCACGCAGTTTTCCAGTGTCCGAGGTGGGAGGCGGCTCGCCGGAGACTGGCGATAGCAATAAGAGAGTTGGTAGAGGAGGCTAACCTGGTCGCGACAATGCTAGAAAGCCCGGAGAAGTGGGAGAAGATAAGCAGATACATTGAAAAAGTGGTAGCAAAATGTTATTATCCATTTTTGTAAATAAATAAAATATATGTACAATTGTAAGCTGCCTAAGTATCTTTCTTCTGTATTAAAACCACCAAGGCGAAACACAGGAGAGAGGAAAAATGCCATTTTTCAAGAGAAACAAGACGCCATTAAAACTTGAATCGGCCCATCGATTGACTTTCGAACAATGTTGCCAAACTTCTCAGCATGGCTTGTAATTATAGACGGCTGTGCTTGTGCCTATCAACATGTACTCTGTCGATAAATTTTTTAATAATATGCTGATTTTCAACGGATAAAAGTTTAAAGGGCCAATGGATCAGAGCCATTCGAAGAGAAAAATTTACTCCCACCATAGTGCATTTGCGGGGAATGAAGCCGATTTTAGAAAGATACCTACGAAGGTGTTAAAAAATAATGCAATACCGAGCGTTTTCGACTTTCCCATTCACTTAAAATAACGTAGAACTATTATTCGGCATCCTTTACCAGCAAGACAACGGCAATACCTATTTGCCTATTAGGTATAGACGTAACTAAGTACTTACTGGTACTAAGTATATTTCAGGTTTTGTTACAAGAAAAATAGCTAAGTCTGTTAAAGGTTCCATATGTGCAGATGCGATATTCGCATCAGAGAGTCATTCAAAGCTTTTAACTAGAAAAAATCGTGGAGGATTGTTGCACGTATCAAGCGATGCATTAAAAATTTGCCAAATTGCTGAAAATGTGTTCAGGTTTTTCATTCAATCCACACCACACCGCGTTGTAAACAAAATGGTTATCAGCAGTCTAAGAAAAATAAATAACAGTTACAGCCCATTTGGGTTTTTGGATAGGCATATATTGAATCAAAATCCGCTAAATAATCATATCTTACTACTTACATTTTTAGTTTTAAGAGTATACGTGTTCACCACCAAAATACACATATAAATCAAATTAGGACTAGAGTAAGGCAGTTATATACCAATTTAGTTCAAATAAAATACCAACAAATTCGATTAAAACAGTTAACAGCTATATGTTATCTTTTTTTGCTATTAAAATTTAGAATAAACATATGCTAAAGCAAGCTGCAGAACGTACGTCTGCCCCGCGATGAACAGTTGGTTGCCTAACCTATCTTGAGAACAGGCGTTTATAGTAAAATCTACGTTACGCGCGGTCTAGTTATACAAGTCTCTGATCGAAAAGAATTTCCCAGAAGAAAATTTGATATTTAAGCATCCGTGAAGACTCCAGGTAGACACTTGTATAAGGCTTTCTTTACATCCAAATTAAACTGTTCGAACCCCGGAAGCTGTCATCAAAGCAAGCAGTAATGTAGCTGAAAATGGTCCATAATGTAGAGGGATATTTATAGGGATACAATGGGATCAAACGTGTTTTTGGTTCTGAATATCAGGTTGATCCGGGGCTCTGCTGAGGCAAATCTTACGGTAATGTTTACTTTTTCCTCATCCGGTACTATTACTCCACCCATGGTTATATACCTTTCTAAAAGGCGTACTGTTGATAACATTGTAAAGGCAACAACGTGTTTACACAACTTTATAAGGCAATCAACTACTTCCAGGAAACACTACTGCCCACCAAATTATGTAGACACGGAAGAGGGATGGAGACAAAAAGTCGAGAGTAGTATTATAGAAACTTGTATTCGATTGGGAAGCAATAATGCTGCAGTAACATCCAATGTACAAAGAAATAATTTAGCAAAATATTTCACAAGTCCACCAGGATTCAAAAAAGGTCAAATAGAATATGTTAAAAGAATATAGTTTATTTAAGTTATTCTGAATAGAGTAATGATTTTTTTAAGTAATTTCTTTTTGTCCCATCCTTAATTTTTGCAATTTCTGTTGCAACTAAATCACCAAATTCTTTCTCTTCACCCCTAATAACACATGATATCCCAGGGATGTACCATTAGGGTCTCTACAATGCCCCAATGTCCCGGCCCTAAGTGCGACAATCCTGAGATGTTCTCTTTGGTACATTCCTAAGACGTTTTACGTGGGATGTTCGATAAACATTCCATACAAAGCCTAAATAACAATCTTACAATTCTTGAGACGCTTCCGCGGCAATTTAGTTAAATATGCTTAAAAAATGAATTTATGTACATTAATCTTAAATTTTCTCGATTTAAAAAAATTATCACGACGGGATTCGAACCATATCAACCTTTCCATCCATCCTCTATAATTTATTGAAACGGACATTGGTGGCGCTGGTGTCAAGCGTGAAGCGTGGCGTGGTTATTTTAGCGGTCTTTCGTCTCGTGTATCGGGTGTTTGTGAGGTTAAGTTGAGTTTGTGTTCAAGTTTCGTTTTATTATTCAATCTTTTTGCCGGCGGTTACGAAATTTGTTTGTGCTGAACGTCGGTAAGTACTTACAAATTACAATATTAACTGCTATACATATAGTTATTAATGTTAAAAATATCTTCGTTACAATTAGGTAATTACTTAAATTACTCATTCATTACCGTTTGATATAGGTACCTATTATTACCAATACCTATCCCATATTCATGGATCCCTCATCAGAAAAAAGAAAATTATTCAATAAGTTCAGTCAACGTTTTAAGCGCTTAAAGCAAAGTAATGAAAGTTCTCAAGTAAAAACTCCCGAAAATCCCGCTCAGAGTAACCCGGATGATTTTCAAGCAGTTGACAAGCTCGTAATTTCATCTGCTCTGTCGTCTCATTACACTGTTGAGGAGGAATCATCTCGTGAGACAGATACGGAATCGGATAACAGTGAATCCCATGACAGCCAAAATATAATTCAGGGAGACCAATATGATAATGTCACAGGCCAACCATCTCTTTATTTAAATAAAAGTATTGAAGAGTCCGAGCAGTGTCGGTCTTTACCTTTAAATATTTCCTTGTCAAATTGGGCATTAAAACATAATATCAATCATACAGCCTTATCTGATCTATTAATTATATTAAAACAAGAACACCCAACGTTACCAAAAGATGCAAGGACCTTTTTAAAAACTCCTCGACATGCTGGTTCACAAATTAGGTGTGTAGCTCCAGGTTCATATTACCATTTTGGTTTAGCGCAGTGTTTACAAAATATACTCGCACAGTTGTTAAAAGAAAATCGGTTTATACCCAGTGTTTTAGAAATTTGTGTAAACATAGATGGCTTGCCTATTTCTCAAAGTTCCAGTAATCAAGTTTGGCCTATAATGATCAATTTATTCAAATATACAAATATTGTCGAGATTTGTGGAATTTATCAGGGAAATGAAAAGCCACACAGTTCTAATGATTTTATGTTAGATTTTGTTATGGAGGCAATTGAATTAATAAATAATGGTTTTTTCTACAATACAATTTGTTATAATGTAAAAATAATTGCATTTATATGTGATGTGCCTGCGAAATCATTCTTAAAATGTATAAAGGGGCATAGTGGATATATGTCGTGTACTAAATGTAACATCGAAGGATCTTATATTGAAAATCGAACATGCTTTCCAAGCTTAGAGGGGTGGAATTTAAGAACAGATTCAGGTTTTCGAATGAAAGAACAAAGCAGTCATCATATTGAAACGACTATTTTAGAATCTATTCCCTGTGTCGATATGATTAAGTCGTTCCCCATTGACTACATGCATTTGGTGTGCTTAGGTGTTACAAAAAAACTTCTAAATAACTTATGGCTCTGTGGTAAACCACCTCATCGTTTTTCATCACAACAAATTAAAAATTTGTCAGATCATTATCTCACATTTAAAAACCAAATACCTTATGAGTTTATGAGAAAGCCAAGGTCATTTCTGGAAGTCAAAAGGTGGAAGGCTACAGAATTTCGTTTATTTCTGTTTTACCTGGGTCCTATAATATTAAGAAAAAGAGTCTCAGATGAAATATATGAAAACTTTTTGACCCTCCATGTATCAATGACATTACTGTCAAAGTGTGATAATTTACTGTATGCTAAGCAGTTACTTAGACATTTTGTACTAACTTACACAATGCTTTATGGAGAAGCAAATGTTTCCCATAATATACATAACTTGCTTCATCTTACTGATGATGTTGAAATATTTGGCAGTGTTGAAAACTTTAGTACATTTCCATTTGAAAATAAGATGATGTATATAAAAAAACTAATTCGTAAAGGTGATAAAACCGCTGCAGCAAATCGTTAATAGAATATCCGAAAAAACACACAAATTCTATTTAATGATAGCAAAACAATTACGTATCCAAAGTTCCAAATTGAACATTCGAAAGGTCCACTAATGGAAAATATATCTGGCGATAGATGGCAACAATTTGAAAAAATTGTGTTTGAAAAGTTCTTATTATCAATACAAGATGCTGATAATTGCTGTGCACTTATTGACAAAAGTGTGGTCATTATTAGAAACATTATAGTAAGTAGTAAAGGTAAATGTATTAAATTAATTGGTAACAAATTTTTAACCTACGAGGACTTTTATACGTCTCCCTGTAAGTCTTCAAAACTTAATATTTATTTGGCAAGTTATTTAGAAAATGAATTGAAATCATGGGATATAAATGAAATTGCCTATAAATGCATGAAGTTGTCTTATAAGACCAAATTTGTAATTTTACCATTAATCCACACAAACTAAGATTTATACAAATTTTTTAGCTTTTTAAGGTGGGCGTACACTGCAAACGAAATATATAAATCAGCTACTTATCGACCTACTTCCATACTTTTAAGGCATTCCAGGTCATCTATGCTAAACTGGACGAAGATTGAAATCATAGTTTCATTTAATTCATTTCAGCCCATGTTAGATTTAAAAGGCTTTTTCAGTTCATATACTAAACTACCTAAACGAAAACTGCCTCCAGAGTTGCTCAAACTTAGTTTAATTGTCCTTAGCTGATTTTAATTTCGTTTATTTCGCAATGCCCGCGCCCCTTTAATATTTTCTTATGTTTATATACAGGGTGATTCCTATAGTACCTGCCACCGTTTGGGAGCGTGTAGGTGGTGCGTAGGGGAGTATTTTGATATAGGACACTTGGGATCGGAAATCTAAAATAAGGGTGCCAGAGCCAAATTTACCTTCTGGAATTTCGCGCCTGTAGGTAGGCAACCCAACCGGCCGGCGCTGCACACGGAGCGATCTCAGGCGGCGATGTGTGGCTGACACTTGATCAGAATTTTGTTTAAACCCACGAAATCCCGTCTGCAACGACGCGTATCAAGTGAATAAACACTATGGCAATAGTATAATAATTAGTTGGCTAGATGTAGGAAGTGCATTGAGAACAACGGTGGCCACGTTGAACACTTGTAAACGTTATTGCTTTTGACTGTCGTTTTCCCTCCTTCCCTCCAATGTCGCTTCCTCGCGCTAACTCGCTCTGCATCGCTCCGCGCGAAACGTCGGTCGGTTGGGTTGCCTACATACAGGCGTGAAATTCCAGAAGATAAATTTGGTTCTGGCACCCTTATTTTAGATTTCCGACCCCAAGTGTCCTATATCAAAATACTCCCCTAGGCACCCCCTATACGCTCCCAAACGGTGGCAGGTACTATAGGAATCACCCTGTATGTATAAGAGTTGTATAGCACACACATTTATTAAAAGTTTATGGGACGAAATTTTCACACATGTATCTACGTATAACATAGGTCTATTATAAGGTGTTTCTGTTCTTGTTTTGCCCTTTTGTTGTTTTTTTAGTTCCTATGGCGTCTCCAAATAATACATGGACTGTGGTGTGTTTCACCAATGATGAAACGGTGGAGGCAGTTCCGACAAAATGGTTAAGTGGAGATCAGTGCTTATGGCCAGTGGTAACTAGAGACAAATTAAATACCTACATAAGAAAATGTGAATTTAATTCATGTTGGCCATCACACACTGTGAGAACATTTCGGAATGCAACATATGGTAATCTTCATATTTGTGGTATTAAAAAAATAATTTGTGAAAGAATATGTACCTAATTTTTGATTAATGAAAACAAAAATTTAATTAGATAATAATCAAAGTGAAAAAGGAATTTTTTTTTTAGATAATTACTCTGTTGCGAGGAGCAAAGCTAATAAAGCTGAAAATACAAGTGACCTGAACACAGATTGTGATGATGGTCCTTTATCAGGAAAAAGGAAAAGAAAGACAAAAGTGATCTCTTCATCTTCAGACGACTCATCAGACACTGAATCTATGAATGAGATGCGGGCCAATAAAGGTAAAATGCCTTCTCCACCAGCATGGACTGATGATGAACATCGGACTCACAAAGATTCACATCAGTTAGGTAAGAGGCTGTCAAAATATTTTTTTATCAATTTTAATATAATGTTCAGAGTCCCTGAACACTTCAAATTAATGTTGCAACATTCTGTTTTATCTGAGTTCTTATATTTTATTTACCTTTTGTAGCTGAACCAGAAGCATGCATAGATGAACTTGAGGAACAGGTGGTTGTGGTACCACCTGTTATTGAATCATTACCTTCAACCTCGATTGCCCCTAGCCAACAAGAAAATGAAATTAACAATATCACACCACGAAAGCCTATAGACTCCATTAAGGAAAATATAAGCAAGTTTATTTAATTTTGTTAGAAATAAATTGATGTCTAATCAAATTTTTTCAGGAAGGGCAGACCGAACAAAATGTTGTTGCAATCCAGCTTTACTATACAACATTCAGGCATTACTTATCGAAATCAATAACAAGCTGAACAGTGTACCTAGGAAAGCTGAGGAAAATGAAGAAAATATCATTCGGAAATCCGGAATTAGTTTTCCTATGGAAACTATTCAGGAATTCGACAAATTTGAGAAATTCTTTTCGGCAAGAGAAAATTATTTAGCTTTGGTAATATTTTTTATTATGTTATTTAAACAATTCATAACCAACTTCGGCTGCACAAATTCCCAACTTTCTTTATATCAATTCTAAATTGGCATCAGCATTATGTTGGTAGTATGGTGCAGCGCTACCAGTATTAATGGTCTGTTGTTGTCAAGCTGCTGTAGATTTGTTTCAAGCATTAATATATAAAACACGTTTTATAACCATTAATTTTAAATTATACATGACATCAATATTGATTGATTATGTCATTGTTGTCTATGACGCACTGCTCTGATTAAAAGACTGCATGAAAAGCAATGCTTTGTATATTTCATTTAAACTTACCAATGTATGATGCAATGTATTTTTTGCAGGTTGGATTTTTCTCATCTATTGGAGGAGCTAATTTATATGAATTTGTACGTAGATGCCTTGCTCCTCTACTATGGGATGGATTATCGGAACAGTTTTCCTTCTTTGGAAAAAAAGGAAATCTTTCCTTTGGGGATAAAAATTTGGCAAAAATAATAATAGGTAAATACATTGTGTTAGTTTAACGAAATTGAGCGAATTAAACAATATTAATTCTCTAATGTCTTAAATATTACGCACATTATACCTACACACTGACCAGTAAATCCTGACTTTCCAAGTTCTGGTGTGCACATTAGTGCGCAGTTCAGCAAAGCTACACATGGAATTTGTTAATCCCCAACATGCAGGTCTAATAGGAACGTTTCATGACCAGGATTTGCTGATCCATATTGGTCTGTACAGAAATAGTGTGCACAATATTTTTTAATGGACGAGAGATACTTGATTAATATGTGATATTAACTGTGTTATAAACTGTTTTGTTTAATACATTTTACTGCTGTGTATACATTGGTACAAACATTTGCAAAATTTTAGAAGCCGCTGAAAAAGGTGGACATGCAAAAAATAAAAAGGAAGTTGAGCAGAAACTGGGGGATTGGCTGCGAAGATCTAAGGAACGACGCATTCGGGCAGAACATAAACGTGCAACAAAAAAATAAGAATTTAGGTATGGAGAAGCGTGTTTTTTGTTTAGGTGCTATTGGAAACTTGAGTATCCCAAACACCATTATAGAATATTAAGGCAGAGGGCAATTTGTTGTTTAAGAGAATATTTTGTTTTTTACATGTTTTCTGTAAATACTTTGTATCAAACTCCATATTAAATCTTTGTTATTTTATTAAAACAAATTTTATTACTGCTTTTGAAAATCCCTGTTTTTATAAATTGGAACATTCCAACATCATCTTGTGAATGTCCCCGTGTAACATCTCGCATACATGTTTCTGTAACATCGCAAATGATGACATGGCTGTTGCCAGAGACGTCCCTGGGATGTCTATAGGAAAATAGGGACCTCTTAGGGATGTTTGTATTGTCTCATTGGAATGTTTTTAGGATGTTTGTGGGATGGAATTGTGTTATTAGGGACATACTACTAGATTTTGAGATAGTGAAGAAATCGCCTGTGCAATCTGGAGATCAATATCTAATTCATTTGTTGGACGGGGCCTTAACTGCTGAGTTTTGCGTCTTTTTGCTGGGGGTGTATCTGCAAGTTAGTTTCGTTTTAAAAAACCAGATGAGCTGCTGCAAAGTGAAGTTGTTCTATGATGTTGCTTTTGCATAGATGAATTAGAGCTAGTTTGCCGACATTGAACAGAATCAACCCCTTAAGGTGTTGTAAAAATGATGAATGCGTGAAGATCTCGAGGATCATTCGGTGGGTATTGAGTTCGGATTTTTTATTTCAACCAAGGCTGCATTACTTACTAACCCTGTCCATCAATGCAAAATTTGTTATGTTTAATCAGTACGACCAAATAATAATAAATAATTAAAACTGTCATGTCGTTTAGTATTTGTCTCATAATCACAATTAGCACATTTAAAATCCTTCTAAACTTTGTTTTAAAAGGCGTTGGTTAAGATTAGATTTATAATTATTGATCTCATAATCACAATCAGCACATTTCAAATCTGTCGAAACTAATAAATAAGAGATAAGTGGTGGTTAGTATTTGTCGCATAATCACAATTAGCACATTTAAAATTCTTCTAAACTAATAATACGGGACCACGCAGAGAGCCGAAACTGCACAACGACTGGTTGTGGTCTACTATTTCGCAGATCGCAAAGTTATCGAGAACTAACTGCCTGTGGCTGCAAACAGGGATACTGTGTGCATGTACGTCAGAAACGGTTTTCGGTACTTATACGCAACTTTGCGCATGGGAAGGACAAAGAATAACGAAACAAATCATGACGTGTTAGTATACATTACGTATTTATATATCTACTTTATTAAAATTTATGACATTTAATTGTATGCCTATATGCTTAAAATCAGTTTCTTGGTTCCTCAATAGATGACATCATTGTTGGGATTGGGTAGTCCGGAATTTTTGGGGATCAGGGCATTTTTTTACGGTCGCGGTCATCTCGGCGACCATTTATTTCCCGGCGATGGGCAATCTCGGCAATGCTTTGGTCGTCCCGGCAATTTGAATTGTGCGATCGGGGGGATAGAACACATTTAAGACACGGTAAACGTATGAATCAAATTCATGTTTATTATATTGAAACAATTTACCGGAATTAAGTTTTCTTATTTGTTTAGTTTATAGACAGAAATTTCTTCCTTCTAGATATAATACAATCTGAATAGACTATATTATCAAATTGAAATTATGCCATTTATAGGTAGGTAAAGTTTTCTGGTATCTACCTGCCTAGGTAAATAGGTGAAACGCAATTTTCTTTGCACTGATGGCAATTGTGTAAACAAACCGGCTTATTTGAGCTTCCTTACAAATCTCGGTTTCTTATATTTCTAAGAATGAATTGCAATGCACAGTAAACCTCTTTCGGTGCTAATTTGACAACCGCTCCTAAATCATTATTTATGTTAAGGTGGATTTTGGCGCCATGACCGTGCTGCGTATTTGATTTTCTCTCTTTTAACCAACCACTGGAATGTTAAGAGTGTGCGTGTATGTGCGGATGAATGGTGGCGGGTGCTGGGTTGTTCGGCGTGTGGCTGGCTTCGTATTGCGTACTCCTGTAACGTTTGCGGGTGTCGGAGGCTAATCCCCGGCTCCTCCTAAGGGTGTCATTGACCCTGAAGGCTTTTAACGTAGTCGGTTTGATGTGTATCGGAAAATAGGTTAGATACCCTATACATATTTATTTCCTCCGAAACATTAGTACTCGCAAATGGTTACTTTTATTAACCCTTATAAATAATACCAAGCGTGATGAAAATGCACCCCATGTAAATGTAGTCTTGCGTCTTCTAAACACCTGCTACATATTATTCGATATTACACTCTGAGCTGCCAATGCTTAAACCAACCGTAGAGCTACACAATTCTTTGATGAGTGGAATGCTACAGATCCCACCATTATGAAGAAATGCACAGCAACGAATAAAATTGAAGCTTACGAATAATCCAGTAAATAGAGGGGGGGTTATGGTGAGAGAGCTAGCAAACCATCCATTTTAAATGATGCTTTATTATCAGCCAATTAAGAAAATACATTTCTGGCAGGTATCTCGCGGTTGTGTCATCATCCCTTAAATGTTTGAAGTTTGCAATTATTTCTTATGGCAATAATTCCATGGCCGGGTCGATGGTGACTATGCGAGACAACAAACGAATGAAAATGGGGTTCAACCACAATCGGTCACCTTGCTTTCTTTCATTTCCCGAAGCCTGAGCCAGTCACTGGCAGCTGTGCCCTCCTGATGACCATCCCTTTTAGATTAGGCAGAAGGTCTGGAGTGGTGTGTGGCGTCTCTCCCGTACTTACCCTATGTTAACTTGCATCAAACTAGAGCGCAACCGTGTCAACGTCATTAATTAGGCATTCAGTTGAATCGGAATCATGTGTTCGCGTTCAGCCGTGAGTGCGATTGCTACAGGTAAGTATCACAAATTAATGAGTAATTTTGAGTGTACATGTGCACACATGAGTTTTATACAAAATGTAATCAAAAAAAGTCTACTGGAAATTAATGTCTAATGTACGTACAGTGTACACAGAAATAAAATGTAGTAAACTAAAATGGGACTCGCAATCGCGAAGACAGGTAAGGTCCAATTTATATTCAAACGCGAACGTTCACACGTTTCCTTACACAATCTTTACGAAATATACAACCGTAGCAACAAGCACACGTCTGAAACAATCCTGCGTCTTTGGCTTGTTTATTCCATCTCTTGTAAGTTTCATTAATTTCAAAATTGCATTCCCCCCTGATGGCCATAAACGGCAATTTCTTGAAGTATATCTTGAATTACAGACACAATTTGCTTTCTTCCCTGCTTACAAAAGAATGTAATTTACCAGTTCTGTACAAGTCGCAAAAAACCTTTCTTCATTTTCAAAACTGTGGCATGCACACATTACAGCACAAACAACCCCGAGCTAAAACGCGACGGACGCACTTATCGCCACACAATGCGAAACAAACAACCACCGCCGTCATAGGGCAGGCCTTTTATAAGGCGATACGCAAGCCGTGTATTACCCGATCGCCGAAGTAGCGGAAGAAGTGATTCTAAGAAGGCTGCAGGGCCCAACGGAGGAGTGACGCGTCATTCAAGACGAGCAATTCGGATTGCGGAAGGGTCACCACCAAGTGCTCGGGGCGGTAGAATACGCCAACAGAAGGCTTCAATGGGATCAGTCTTTTTGGACTGTTCATCGTTCGATTCATCATTCTGATGCGAGCTCTGACAGTAAGCAAAAGAATCAGTCAGCCAAGCGTTTAAAGTGCGGTAATCGGCACACCAACCTCGTATAGCGCGGTTAATTATTCAACAGCGCTCCATATCCAGTTCTGCGATACGATGACGCTACAACTACCCCGAGGAAGGTGCGGAAACACGAAAAACGAGCTAAGCGAATGTCCACGCCCCGTGTCGAACCATCGCCTAAAGATGCATTCAGGCAAGGAAAATCGGACGCAACGCAAACGTCATAGGATGCACTTGCCTTTGACTAATTGTATACAATTGTATATATCTAGATGTAAATAACCATATCCGTACTGTAACTAAACCACTCGAAAAGATTATCAAACAAGTATACATTGTGCACAACTCTTGTGCAGATAAAGCGGATTTTTCAAACCGAAATAGCTTTTGTTTTGACATAACCAATGGATATATTTCTTGCAGACGTCTCAATCGCCCTTTGTGAATACCCTCTTCAGACAATCCCTTCTTGAGGTATAAGGGAATATACCCGATCACGATAAGAGGTCGAGGAGGAGGGCTATGGTTGGTAGAAATTAATTCCTTTCCTCTGTTCGATGGATTGCCCCTTGTGGTGGTCTTGCTTTTATTATGTCCATGAAAATTATTCCTTTGATGCAGTTGCAAATGAGTGGAATATAATAAACCCCTATCCAATCGAGATGCGTATGATCGCAAAAACCCTTCCATAAGCACTCTACGTCGAATTATATTTCCAATGCTTCTGGATTGTGAGTAACAGGTTTTTTTCTCAAGGATCTACTCAGTTCAACCCTCAATCTGTACACTAGTTTTGTCGAGGATCTACTCAATTCAACCCTCAATCTGTACACTAGTTTTGTAGAGGATCTACTCAGTTCAACTCTCAATCTGTACACTAGTTTTGTCGAGGATCTACTCAGTTCAACCCTCAATCTGCACACTAGTTTTGTCGAGGATCTATTCAATTCAACCCTCAATCTGCACACTAGTTTTGTCGAGGATCTACTCAATTCAACCCTCAATCTGCACACTAGTTTTGTCGAGGATCTACTCAGTTCAACCCTCAATCTGTACACTAATTTTGTCGAGGATCTACTCAGTTCAATCCTCAATCTGTACACTAGTTTGTCCAGGATGTACTCAGTTCAACCCCCAATCTGTACAAAAGTTGACTAGTGTGTCCTCTGTTCGATAAGTTGCCCCTTGTGATTATGCTTTTATTATGTCCATGAAAATTATTCCTTTGATGCAGTTGCAAATGAGTGGAAGTAAAAACCCCTATCATATCGAGATGCGTATGATCGCAAAAACCCTTCCATAAGCACTCTACGTCGAATTATATTTCCAATGCTTCTGGATTGTGAGTAACAGGTTTTTTCTCAAGGATCTACTCAGTTCA